GCGCTTTTTAGTTGTTTTCATTAAAAGAACAAGAAACCTTGGGTATTCGGAAAAAATTGTGTTTTTCTTCATTTTGTCTGAAGCAGATGAAATTCTGATACGCTGGCCTTGCCGTGGAGAGTGGCAAGGAGCCTTGAAAGATCGCAGATGTCTGACTGCTTGGCCTTTAGAATTCCTAGATAGCTCCTAGATGCTGTAGCATCAGGGACCCAAACGTCGACATTGAATTCTCAATCTTAAACCTAAGGACCCAACTCAGCAAACCTCTGGCGCCTTCAAGAATGCATCGCGCTCAACAAATGAGGCCCCCCTTTTAGCCCAAGCACCTTGCAACCCGGACCTAGAAGAAGATGAGCCCGGAATAGTGCCTTATGTCTGTATATGGTTAGCACGCTTGCCTTGTGCGGGTTCACCTGAATGGGTGCCCCCTTGAACTAGATGACAACAAGAAACGACCCAACCCTACCAATTAGAACTTGTGACCCACAATGCCCACGCCGCAAAGGCTACCGGCACACTCCTCTTGACTTGCGTTGACCCGTCAAAGCTTCATGAAACCCAATGGACCCTGTACACTCCCCAATTCTCCCAAGACTTCCGCCAAAGCCCAGAGACCATTTCCAAAGAAAGTCAAGTCACATAGTGTTGGGCCCTCTTTACTGTTGAGGTCCCCTATAACGTGTTTNNATTCAGGACCTGGGCAATGATTTGAGGCCCCCTATAATGTGTTTTGATTTTGGGGCCGTAAAAATGTGGGAAGGATTCTCAAGAATCCCTTTTAAATCAATCTACAGGGACCTCAGAACCGTAGGAGCTCAGGGGGGCCGTATTGAGGATCCCTAATTTCTATTTTTCGGAGGCCTAATGTTAGCGGGGGCCTGATTAAAGAGGGTCCAACATTAGTGTCCTTTGCAATGCATCTCTGAAAAATTATCTCACCATTGTCCACGTACTTGGTACAGAAGTGGGGTATGGACCACAGAACCCTCCGGGCCATCACACAAAGTGTATGGGTCTAACACCGAGGCCCGCACGGCAAAGCGACGCCAAGCTGATGGCGCACATGCCAAGGCCTGTGCCTGTCTAAGGTTCAGTGTTTATGTCTATGGATTCAAGGAGGATTCCCAAGCCGCGGCTTTTTTTTGGGAAGCCAGGCTTGGATAGGATTTGAGGCCCATTAAGGACACAAAGACGAATAAGTTACGTAGGCTTGAGCAGTGTTCTGGGAGCCCTAATTGCGGGAGCCTACGCCAAGCACTGTACCACGTAGGTGGAGGTTTCAGGGATGCCGGTCTCAAGGTTCCGGGGCTGGGGTAGGGTTCTGGTTCTGCTCTTCCTTGCTGGACCTCTGTCGATTCGTGGGACCCAGGAACGGCCCGCGTGATTCGTGAGTCGCATGTGTGGCAGGGCCGAAATCCCGAATGCTAATGGATTTCTTCTGTAATTCTTCTATAAAAGCCGAATGAAATCATTCATGTGCTAGACATTCTTATATACAGGCCTAACGAAATCAGTAATTCTCTGGGAAATCTCGGAAATCCCTAATTCTACTAACTAGGTTTCCTCCTGCATTCTTGTGCAGATACCCTTATATACGAGCCTAGACAGCTGATCACATTCTACGAAATCCAGGAAGTCTCCAATGATAACATGCCTTTCCAAGTACCCTTCATTCAATATGAATTCCCCTTCATGGTTTCCTCTTTAAAGTGGTCTTGTCCATTTAGTCTTCCCATTCTTCCAGCCATCTGGGTCCCCAAATGCATTATCTTTTATCAAGGGGAGTTTTATACTAAAAGGAAGGGATTATGGGAGGCCCTCCCGGTACCAGTGTAGGGCACGCCGGAATCAACTTCAGACTCCAATAAACAAATGAAAGCACAAATGCTTCTGTTTGGAATGTTCGCAGTATGTAGCCCTGCTTGGATGTAGCCTGCCTGTGGATACCAAATATCTATCAATCAACTCTGAGACAGAACTATGCTCAGCTGTGCCTGGCTGGGCGCCTTCCACACATGGAGATGCGCAGCTGAAGAAGTTGCCCATGGCTGGGCCGCACCATAGCGCGACACCAAAGAGGGGTGAATATAAGAGTTCAGGCAGTCAGGCCCCGAGGTTTCGGGTTTAACGGCTTATCAGGCGTTAGGATTTTTTGCGGCCTGCGGGTGTAGAGTTTAGAGCCGTCCGGTTGCTCACGAATGCATTTCCATGTCATCTACGTTCCCTCAGTTGCACTTTGAAGGACTGGCAGCAGCTCTGGGGCGTCATCGGGCATTTTCAGAAAGCACGCTTCAGCAACTGGCCCATCAGAAGGCTTAGCTAGCCGGACTCGAGGATCATCTGTCAATAACCTCCCAGATTTCAACACGCCTCCTGCCTTGGAAACAACACGTACTCCGGCGGATTTTTCATTACAGGTGGGGCGAACGTCGGTTATTACTAAGAAGAAGCGATCACCGTCTGTGATCTGTGATCGAGTCATGGTCATGGGCTGGCTGGCACTCGGCGGAGCTGACATGATCAGAAACCCTCAGGAATGTTGGCAGAAGGCAAGCTAAGATCCGACACTTAAGACCTCGAGTTTGCCTTCGGCATGCATACTTTCAATGGTTGGTTGCTGTGATCTTAAGGGGCAAAGCAGTAATTGGCACAAGCAGGAACCGCAACGCAAGCAACTGTTTTGATCAACTACGATGAAAAACGAAGCCAGGCTCGCTCGAGTGAAAGGTGCAGATGGCACAGGTAAAGATGTTTGCTGTACATGCAAATTGTATGAAGAGATGCCGTCTGATGTAACTTGTGAAACAATTCTACATGCGCCAATGGCGCTTTACTCCGTGTCTCTTTTGAGAGGCTTTCCGATGGTTGAGGGAGCGGCCGAGGTGCTGCTGAGATGAGATCGCGCAACCTGGCCGAGCCACTTGGAAGCACTTATGTGCAGTACGAATCCAGCAAATGCAACGCCGAGAGCTGCCCAACCTGCCATCATCACCAAATTCATTACGTTGCTGTTCAAGCCCCCGGCTTCGACCGGGGACGCAATTTTGCTGGTGATGCTAAAGCTTCTGAAGCAAAACTTCTCCGTAAGTGAGTAGTCTGCAGCGAAAACGAACCCTGCCACCAGCAAGCAAAGGGCTGAAGCAAATACCAGCAGTTTCTGACCTCTGCTCATGTTTGGCCATGAGCTGGCATTCTGCAAAGCCGCAACATATTCTGACTCCTTGCGCGTGAGCTCGGCAACGGCTGCATGCTCAGCACGTGGTGCGGCAAGCGCCGGCCCATCCTCCTCAATGACCATCATGATCCTGTAGCTGAAAAAGCACATGGCAAGCGCTTGAACAACACCAGCAGCAAGGGTAACGAAGCTGGAAACCATCCCCATGATGCCAGAGCTACCATCTGTGAGCGTGAGAAGAGCACCCACCAGAACCTGAGGCACAATGCTGACGAGTATGACAGGTGTGGTTCCCAGAAGCATCTGAGGTATCTTCAAGTGAAGGATGCCACACAGAACGCTGGTCGGCCAATCAGGACCCGCTACCAGTATCGCCACTTTATCGATCTTCAAACCATTTTGCTTTAGAATCTGTTCCATTGCCCGTGTTGGGACTTTGTCGACGCCGACGAATTGTTGTACCTTGACTGACTTGCCCATCAAAAAGCCCATGCCGTACTGCAGGCAGCAGGCGATCATCTTCGCAGTTGAGCTTATACAAGATGCTGCGATGACACCCAAAGGAAATCCGACTGAACCCTCAAGCTGTGACTGCGCACCAAATATCACACCGGCAAACAAATACACAGCACTGCCTGGAACAATTGGGCACAAAAACATCACCAGCGCGACGGCAAGCACCAAGACTGACAGCACCACAAATGACAGTTGCGCTGCAGCCAGTGTCTCATTCAACCATGAGAAGAAAACATTTGTAAGCTTCATGCCAACAATGATGGCAACAAACAGCTCGCCCAGCAGGTCTATCTTTAGAAAAATGCTGCACCAAGCCCACGTGCTCATCTCCTTGACAACTCGACGACCTTCGGTGGTAAATGGATCCACATAATCCTCATCACCTCTTTTGGCCAGGCCAGTGCTTCTCCGTACTTTTTTCCGAAGTCTGTCCAGCATGGCAAAGATGGGGATGAACACGTTCAGTCCGCCAACTACTAAGGCCTTCATCCAATCAGACTTGAATATTGAGACCAAGCTTTTTGCAAATGGATCTTGAGAAGTGCTTTGGTGAAGCCTTTCGAAGCCAAACTCGAGCAACATGAAGAGGAGAATTCCCACCATGGACCCAGCTCCCAAAGCAAGCAAAGCCGAGCTCACCGTGACATCTGCACCAGATACATACTGAGCACTGTACATCATTCCCAGCATGAGAACAATTAAGGAAGTGCAGACCTTGAGTACTTTCTTGACATGTTGCGCATCGCCCTCAGGATCAAATTCGAGGCCAGCTGCCGCCTGGGAAAACACCCAGCAGACTGCAGCAAGGATAGCGTTACAGATTCCTAGGGCGCAGGGTGCGGACCACTGCAGAAACCAAACTGTTTCTGACTTCTTGCATGCGGATTCGATGGCTGCGGTCGCCTCTGCTGTTATGTTTTCTGGAAGACTGATGTTGGTTCCGTTTATGCCACAGTCGTTCTGATAATCCCATGACTCATTGTCATATACATACTGATAGACCGCGCCATTGCTGATTGCCAAGCGACTTCGAGTCGATAAGCTCCAAGCGCTGTCGCTTATGCCTTGCCACCCAATCCAAGCCGATATGAGAAGAAAGGCAGCAACAAAAAAACTCATTGAGACTGCGCCGAAAAAGTCTTGTCCACGAATAGCAGCTGGAGGAAAGTGGCATATTCGCAAATAGGCGATCCCAGCAACAGCCATGCCAAAGCACAAAAACCCACCCAGCCACGGGTAACTGATGTACTTGAGCGATGACGCAGCTAAAAAACAAGTTGCGCACAGCATCGCCATGATAATCTTGATGCAAACTGATCTTCGGTGAGCATCTATGACAAATGCCAAGGCTAAAGCAAAGCCACAGAATGCAGCCATGCCGTTGCCGGCCATGTCAGCTGTGCTGGATGCTGTGCGTTCCGCAACCTGTGACGCAAATCCCATGCTGGAAAATGCTGCCAGGGCAATGGTCTCCGGGAGCAGAATGCAGACAAGAGCAGCAAATATCATTCGCCATGTCGGTGCAGATTCTGCATCTCGTATGACAGACATTCCAGTCCCCTCTCTATCCCATCCCTCCTGGCATTCAATGCATCCAAGTCTGGAGCCAAACGGTGTGTTTTTGTCATCAAGCTGAAGCCGTCACAAAAGCATGAAACAACTCCAACATAACCGGATCCAACATGTGCTGTCAGTGCAATCGTTTTCCTGGGCAACCCGAGCTAGTTCCAAATGCTTTGGAATTTCAGACTTCCTATGCCACTTGTCAGTTGACACGGCCAGTCTTTTTTGTCTTTCTCGGCCCTGTCTGTCACTGGTCTTTGCTGACGTAACCCCTTTGCCAAGAACTTTGCTCAGCCAGAATCAGATGACGGAGAGCAATCAAAGTCATAGCTGCCTGTATCTTGTGATGCAAGGCACGTGCTTTGACGGTTTGGTGAGACAGGTTGAGTAAACAATCTGCTTCCTAGTGAACTTAAGTTTGACAAACTCGTTGCTACTGCTAGCCTTGGCTATATCTCTCGAGCTGCTGGTTTGAAAGCCTCGAAACACATCTTCAGAAGCGGTCGCTGAAGAACTGCCAACAGTTCTCTTTGAGCTTCATCTCTCAGCCTTTGCAGGCCGGAGCTGTGTGCCTCTGCTTCTTGGAGCTTCACAATGTCCAGCTGCTGTGTCTCAAGTTCCCATTCGAACCAGCGCTGAAAGCCTTTGTCTGAATCCTGCTTAGGCGCCTTTGTCGCAGGTCGCGGAACGTTGGAGTGGCTTGGCTGCACCTTGCGCTCGAACCTTGCAATGACGAACACAATCCGCTCGGGTAATGTTTCTGTGAAGAATGCTGAAGCCTTCATCTGTGTGTGGGAGAGTACGTCGGTGACAGTAAGGGCAAAGGTCTTCTTTGTCTCTGTCTCACAGCTTCTCTGAGCAACCAGCGGCTCAACCAGAATGACGTCGCCAACCTGAACTTCAGTACTGAATTTGGTCCCGAAGCCAACAACTTCATCCTTGCGAACCGTGATTACCCCGGTGCCGCCGCTGACCAAGAGCTTTCCCATGTTGAGAACCTGTGGAAGACTTCCTGCGCCCAAAGACTGATCGCCAGTCACCACTTTCCCAGCTTCCACCTGCAGAGTGCTGGGATCATGTCCCGTGCCATCGGCTGATTTCATGCCAGACTTGACATGATCATCAGCTAGGTGCTTCTGATGGATCTCGTCTAACACAAGCTGCAGCGATGCATTAATGTTGTCAATGCACTCGTTCATTTTCAGGCATTTTGCCCTAACCTCCCGCAAGGCAACAGTGCACCCGTACAGCTCAACCTTTGCAAGGTCCTCCTTCGTAACAAGGGCACCCTTTGTGAATTCATCCACCTTGCTGAGCACAAGGAACTGCTGTCAACTACAGCCTTACGTTCTGCAAGTTTAGCTCATAAGTTGTCTTGCTGCTACATGGTACAGCCCAATCTGGCCAAGGAACCGTGACAAGACCAGTCCTGCCGTGATCAACTTTGTCACGCACTCGCTTTACGAGCAATTCGTGCAAGCCTGCGTCTCCCAGAAACTCTTTGAGTTTTGGCCTCGCGCAGCCGCAGGATGCAGCACAGCATTACAAAACAAGCTGCAAAACATGTGGAGAAGAGGAACTTCAATCAACAAAGAATTCAACTTTCGTTGCATGCAAGGTTCAGAAAAGCAGAGGCTTGGTCGGCAGTTGCAGGCGGCTGGTCGCTGAGGCCGCTGTTTCTGGCACTTGAATGCCGCTCTGGGTTCATTTTCAACCCAATGGCCTCCTCCATGAGGTGTGTGGGAAGCGCATCGTCTCCAAGTTCTCGCATGCAAGTTTCTTGAAGATTTTTCATTGACGACAAGAAAGCAATCAGCTCAGCCCGCTGAACCTCTGCATCATCCCTGGCCTGTAAGCTCAAGGCAGCTTCGCACACAACGCCCACAGCCATGTTCATCAAACCCAATCCCAACACAACTGCAACAAGCAGAAGTATACTGAAGTTGAGCAAGTTGTCAGTGGAGGTATACAGTACTTCATCCCAACGATCAAAGGTGGCCACTTGCCAGCCTGTCAAGAGGGAGTCAACCAATGTCCCGAAATAAGACTTTGAGGTGGATCCCTCGGATGCATCAGCGCCGATCATCGACACCGCGTATATGGAGAATGCATATAAGAGCAGTAAAATGAGCGTAAGGGCCCAAAACACCTGTTTCCAGGTCTCTATCAACGCGAAGACCAGCTTCTGCAACTGTGGAAAGAGCTTGAAGATGCGAAGCAATTTCGCCAACCGGAACAGACGGAAGGCACGCAGCACTGACAGTGCGGAAGTGTCAAGTTCCAGGATCCCGGCATTGCGAAGCTGCACTATAACCAAAGAATCCAGAAGGGACAGCACGATAATAGTGAAATCAAAAAGCACCGAGAGCTCTTTCAAGCTCTGGTAAGTAGCAGACGCAACGCTCACAACGCCACCAGGTGGACACGGTGGCAGTACCCAGCATCGGACTCTTGACTTTAAGTGTGCGAAGCGGGCTACCTTCCTGCTTGCTTGCTGAAAGAAGTTTAAATCACTGTCTCCCTCTTCTGCCTTGTGCACATACTGCAGATTTGCAGCTAGAATGCCGCGAAGAATAAATTCCACTGTGAATATGAATGTGAACCGAGATCAATCCAATAGACGAGCAAATTTCCGTCATCTTGCATGGTTTGAACTCCAACGAATGCACCATTCACGGCAATTACGCTGCCAAAGAGAATGTCGATTGGCATCAACAGCTGCTGCTCCTCTGTGTCGAGGTTGAATTGATTGGCAGTCTCTTCCATCTTTCTCACGTTTAGTGATGATTTTGCCAACTCCCTTTTCGAAACTGGAGGAACCAAGCTGACGTCATGGTTGAGCCTGAGAAAGGTAGAGGATTCCTGTGCCATGCTCAAAGCATATGCAAAGGCGCACAGGCTTTGGCCATTCTGCTCTACTCTGTCGAGGGACGACTCCAGCTGCCTCAAACTTATGCAAAAGAACAGCAGGTCAACAGGCCTCAAGGCTGTTACCGCCTTGTGTTTCTTGACACTGCTTGCAACGCTGATGGCAAAGTATGATTGCAGCTCAATGATTCCAATCGCCTCAATAATGCCATCGATTTCAATGTCATCGTTTTCCTCGAACGCAGACACCAGTAGCTGGAAGTCTTTGTCTGTGAGGTTGAGAATCTGAGCCAGTTCCTTGATACTGTTGTTTTGCAGGGCCTCGAAAAACTCTTCTTTTGCAATGTATCTGGGGTTTTTCAACAGATGCGTGCCATGCTTGAGCAGCTGCTGCCTGAAGAGTTCGAGCGCGCCCTGCTGCTTCAGAAGCCGCTCAGCTTCGACCATGCGAACTTGACGAGATTCGAGCTTAAAAGCCGTGTTGCACAAGATGCCGACCACAAGGTTCATAATGCCCAGATGAGTTAAGCAGACGCAAACTAGCAGAACAACTGCAATTGCCCCGCCGTGCAATCCACCCAGCTGCAGTGCAGCTGTGCGAACCAAAGCCACCCACTGGTCAAGCGTGGCAAGCTGAACCAGGGTCCACATGGCCGTCGGCAGCGAAGCAAATGGAAGCGAAGCATTGAGGACTGCAGGTAAATCCCACTGCGCCATCCTCACTAGGAGCACGGAGAACATGAATATGCTCAGAGCTAGCAGGACCACGGCCCAGAACAGCGTCTGCAAGGAGCTAAGAATACCCTCCACCAGCATGGCCAGCTGACGAAAAGTGCGAAGTAAGCGTACCATCTTCACAAGCTTCAGCAGCCTGTACAATCGAGCGAGGGCGAACACTCCGCCACTGCCGAGTTCGCCCAAAACCCAAGTATCAACAATGCTGGAGGAGATAACCATCACATCAAGCTGCAGCCAACGATCATGGAGCAGCTGAACACCAAACGGGCGCAGGCCAGTGATGAGTGCTCTCAGGATTAACTCCGTCATGAAGGCAACAAGGAAAACATTGTCCAAAATCTGCCATATCACGTCACTCTCACATCCGCAGTCTGTCTGAATGCCCATGGACACGGCGTTTGCAAACACGATTATGCCAAAGAAGCCATCGAATTTTGCCCACTTTTTCGCCTTTTTCAGTTCATCTGTCACCTCTAACATCAACTGTATCTCATCTGGCGGCAGCTCAAGTATGGTTGTTGCTTGAACTGCAGGTCTCAAAGCGAAATTGCGCCAACGATACACCGCATTTCCCAGCATCGCTTCCGCTGCAACATCGCCTGGACCTGCAAAATATGCAAACATCTTGCCTGGGACCGGCACTTCCAGACCATCTGCTGAGGCAATGTCTTGCTCCTGACCATCCACCAGAACGGTAGCCACATGCTGCACAAGTCGAAAGACAACTCGAACAGTTTGATTCAGAGGAATCGCAGACGTTGCCAGTTTTGCCCGGAAAGGGCCATGCCTCAGAAGAAAAAACAACCTGGCAGAACCTGGCGCCAGGCAAATCCGTGGAAGTTGGCTGGTGGTGGACCCCCCAACAGAGAAGTGTGCTAAGCCCCTGCGCTCTCTGGCTGTCTCCCGCAAAATCACATCAAATGAAATTTCAAAGTTGTTGGATGCATCCAACTTTTTGGCAACCTTCCCGCGGCTCAGAAGCTCCAGCGTCGTCTGGATGAAGGTAAAGGATGTGGTTCCTGGCACAGCGGCGAAAGGGTCCTGCGCTACCTCTGTATCCACCAGCTCCTTGTCGGGCTCTAGATCATCACCAGCTGCTTTATCCTCGTTCGCTGTCTCGTATAGGTGGTCGCCCCCAAACAGCAGCATGTCTATGTCCGGGTCTTCTTCCCCTGCGCCGTGCTCCTGGGCTTCTCGGCTCACGCCAGCTGTAGTGACCGGACTGCTTGCATAGTCTTCTGTTTCCACTGGCCCGGACGCCTTATTGGCTTCATGGTCAGAAATCTTGCTGGCCTTTCCAGATGCTACCGGTGGCTCCTTCATTAGGCTTGCGAAAGGCCCTTCTTCATCCTCCATTGGTGAGTCTGAACGTTCTACACATTAACCCATTCCTGCACAAGAACTGCGGGCAGTGGCATTCATCAATATGGACAGGTGCCGCCATGCAAATTTACATAGGCTCATAGCTCACTGTGCATTATTTAGAGTACATAGATGCGCATACATACACATTGACCCGCGAAGGGCTAGAGCAAGCTTACGAAATCTTATGACCAAGCGCAAGGGACGACCCGGACGCAAAGACCACAAGGTCTAATGTGGGACTTTAGGATGGAGATGCGGGCAGTTGGGTGGTGAAATCCAGTGTGCTTAAACACTAAGACTTTTCAAAAGCAAAGGGCAGGCACACGGTTCCCCAACATTCAACACTTGGCTGGACACAGAAGCACCACACATTATGCAACTTCACTTGCAAAAGAAGACGCTCAGGATTCTAAATCGCCAAACCCAAAGTCTTGGATGTTGTGGCGAGTAACGTCATGTGCAGTGAGAGAAACTCACAGAAACTGGTCAAGAGCATGCAGATGGCTTTTTGTAAACAAGCTGCACGTGCGTGCTCCACTGCAGGGACCACGCAAGAAGATAGCAGATCCTACCTGTAGTGTTTGAGAAAGACATGTCGTGAATCCTGTCGTGAAAGGGACCAGGCAGAGCCCAGTCCGACGGCGGCTCCTGGCCTGGAATTCTTTGTCCCAGGCCGAGATGAAGCTACAAGAGCTCACCTGCACGACTGAGACGACTGCCTTGGTCCAATGCTCCTCTCGCATCCGTCGTGGCTAAAGCATCAGGCTGCCCCCTAACTAGTTTTCGCATGCCTTTGAATCAAGCTGCGCGACTGCTTGTGGGTAAAAGTTTTGATGGCAAAGAAGCGCAATGGCCCGCTTGAGTTCCTTACTCCTTGCACCTCCAGTGCAGTCGTCCGCTTGGGAGAGAGAGAGAGAGAGAGCTCCAGTGTAGTGGCAGAAACATGACAGTCGACTACTTGATGAGCACAGCATGCAAGCCCTGCAGTATAGTAAGGAGCCAGCCATTTCCCATCAGATCAGCTTCTTCCAGTACCTTGATCACTTCAGAAGGGCGCTTCATGCACAACCGCTGATCACGTTCGTTGCCTACTCAGCTGCCAAATATAGTAGTTGTTTAAAGGATCTAGGTTGCCTAACGTGGAAACAAACATCGGAACCTTCAGGTATCTAGCAAGCTCCTTTAGTATTTTGATGCCTCCATGGTGAATGCGTCCACAGTCTCGCATTAGCTGAGCATGGCACAGCTCATCGCGATCCCTTCGTCCATCCCGTTTGCGTCGGTACTGTCATGGACGTGGCCGAGGCTGGCACGTGCTGCAGACAATCCGCCCGTGAGTCAGGCTGGATGCGTGGCACGCTGAGTATCCAGCCGTCAACGGCGCTAAGGAGGCTCCAAGCCTGACTGCAAGCTGTGATAGTGATAGGTATGGTCATTTACGACAAAAACCGACAAACACCCATGACAAAGTTCTCTTGGATGTCTGTCGAAATGCCTCTTGCATGGGAGGTGTGCCGAATCACGTTTTCTAAAAGTGCTCCCACACGACGAGCAAAACTACTTGTATGCGAGTTCGCAGTAGCCCCCTTTGGGCTTTGTATGCCTTTGTACAATCTTTCAGACCACAGGATGTTTGCCCTCCTTTAGGCTTATTGGCTTCAATGCTTCAGGCCTTTACAAGGCTTAAACTTCCAGGCAGTTTTGAAGGCTTTTTTCAAACGGCCCTACTCGTCATGCAGTGCAGTCGGCAGAGGCCATTTCATACCCAGCGAAACGAGGGAAACAAACACCTCCCTTTCGTCTTGCTCGCACCAAAAGCCGGCACTTTGGCTTCTACTCTTCTGACCGCTTTGGGGTTTGGGGTTCTACAATGGGCTTCGCTAGCGCTGCGGGCGCTCTTTCCAATTTTGAAAGGGGTTCTTGCTTAAGCTGCAAATTATGGCTCTGCCAGCGTGGCTGGCACCAAGAGGAACAACTTCATCCCCAGGGCCCCAGGGCATCGGTCCCAGTGCTGGACCACTCGTGGAACAGATTTGTCCAAGGTAATGTTTACGATAAAGCTGATATTTCCAAAAGGCCGATGTGGGTTTAAAAACCCGGAGATGGCTGCACTGCAAATTTAGGGTTTGCCAGCGCAGCTGGTGCCCTGACCATAGCAACACTTTCTTCCCCTGGGTGTTGGTCCTAGCGCTGAATCACTTCTGAAATTGTCTTCCGCGTTGCGTAGAAATCATCCAAAAGCAAACATTTGCACAAAGATTTATACCGACAAAGGTAGCTCCAAAACACACCAGAACGAGCTCCAAAAGGCAATACTTGGTTCCAAAAGGACAAATTGCTGAATTCTCCCGAACACAGCAAATGGTGTCCAAAAGCCAAAGCCGAAAACTGGCACCAAAACTCCACAATTTGTTCTTGCGTCCAGAAGCACAAAATGCACTCAAAAAGCCCTAGCTTGTTTCCAAAAATCCAAATTCGGTGCAGAAGGCCCAAATGCTTCCGAATATCAAAATTGCCCCAGCAGCCCCACATTAGCTCCAAGAGGGCGGCGCATTCGCATACAAAGGTGCAAGTCCGCAAGCTGAATGAGGCATAGATACCCCAACCTTCAACTCAAGGGTCACATGAAAGAAGGCATTGGGGAAAACGCGTCGAATGCTAACTGAAAACGCAATAATGAGGGCCCTGTATTTTGTGCTGCAAAACAGCAGTCCGCAATCAAAACACTAAGTCCAACAACCAAAAATAACTCCCCAAGCCCGAAATGCAGCCACAAACGGGTTCCGAAAGGCAAAAATCCAAAAGCCCAAAACTTGCACCAAAAGCCAAAATTAGATTGAAAAGGCAAAACTTGCACCAAAAGCTCAGGAAGGTTTGCTGGGTCTGCTGTGAAGTAAAAGCCCAATACTGGCTCCTAAAAACAAGCGGCATTCAAAAGCAAAGAACGGTACGATTAGGTCTAAAAATTGGCTCCAAAAACACAAAATCGATTCCACCACCTTCAACAGTAGGTGCATCAAGCCGCGATTGCAAAGGTTTCCCTGCACCCCATGGTTCAAATGAGCTTGGCCTAAGCCTTGAGCTACCTAGACCTCGTTCTCCCAACAGAATGATTGGGTCCAATTATTGCTGCCAAAACCGACAGTCCATTCTGGGCAGGCGCATCAAGCTCAGGGGTTACTGGGGGTTTGGGTACTAGGTTTTGGGGTGTTGTGAGTGTTGTGCTTCGAAGGCACTACGGCTTCACGGCTTTTACAGGCTGGTTGAAGGTCGTGAAGGCTATGAAGTGATAGGTTTTTCAGTTTGTTGTTTCAACGCTGACACTCGCACGGTCCAGGCAAGAAGCCTTGAGGCTAAGAATTGTGGATGTTGTTCATATCATCCGTGGGCTAAATCAAACCTGGCCATCAGCTCCCAATGAGCATCCTTTCTTTCATCCAGTGCCACTGGAAGGCACTTCACGATACATATTCTGAGGCACTTTCTGTAATAAGTTGGAGCTCTTATTGCGATTCCCTTTGATCAGTGTTTGGCCCAACATTAGCTCCAGAGTTCTCCAAGTTGTACCGCGCAAGCAATGCTTGGATAGCACCATCTCATGATGAGTGCTACGCAGTTCCGTGGGCACTCCCCATGTCAACTTTCATGATGTATAGCCTTCGTAGCGACATGTTGGATGGAATGGCAGAACAGCGCCATTCGGTGCGATGGCAGCAAAGACGCCTCTGTCTTGGACCAGTAGATGCATTGAGGAGCTCTGTGTAGCCCATATTAGGTGCGGATGCTTGGCGATGCCTGCAACCCAAACAAAACATAAGGGTTTTCAGGGCCTATAAGTTTCAAACAGAATTCTTGAAGCTTCTATCAGCATGTCCATTCCAGCTTCTGGTAGTAATATCCAAGCCAGTGTCATTACAGCTTCCATATGCTTCTGTGCAAGTTGTCATTCCACGCTTCTATACTTCTGTTCGGGAGAGATTCGGACCTCCGCAAATTCCGTTCGTAAACCTCCTTTGCAACTGCGTGCTACCGCAGCTTTTGCTGATGTCTCCACTGAAGTCACGGAAAAAACGAGGACAGAGACGAGGATGAAGAAACGATGATAGCCAGGAGGGGCGATCTTTGACGCCGCCATCCCCGTGACTCTTGACACCTTCTATAGGAGTGCATGTCACAGCACGTTGCCTCCATCGACAGCTTCACATATAGGAGGTGTGAGAGCTCAAAGCCCGGATTTTCTCCAAGCTTTCAATTTGCACCATGTCGGGGCCCACCTATGGATTCGAAACCGTGATTTTCATGAGGTGTTCGCCATTCTTCAACGTCACAACGCATGGAGGACTCTGACAGCTTCACACTTTGCATGTCAGCTTGCCAATGCCGCGGTTTTCACGATGAAGAACTGCTCGCTTGCTACACATGAGCCACTTTTTGTTGGCTTGGCCACTAAGCCAGCCAAGTGAACGCCATTCTGACCACCTGGTACTAAGCGAATACATATTTGAAGGCTTTCGAGCCACTTGAAATCGAGACCCCACGACCTGGCATTGCATCCAGCATCAACACAGCATCTTTTTGCAATAATTTGAAGAAGCTTCCAAGATGGAGGTGCTCAGCTTCAGAGGAGGTCTGACGTGTGAAAGTTCTCACCCTTGTTTTCTGAAAAGATCGGCCTTTTGCCTCTGGACTTGAAGAGGAGCCTCGGATCTAGATCGGCTGAAATCCAGAATTCTGGAGGTTCACGGAACTTCGGGAGGGAAGTCTGTGGAATTTCTCGACGCTTTCCAGCACCAAGCTTAACTACATGTCGGAGATCTCAGAATGACGAACTGATGCGGAGCAGGCAAAACTCTAAAAACGTCCACACGCTGAAAAAGCCTAGAAGTCCTGAAAGTTCCTGCCCATGCGAAAACTTGCGTGAGCCCTGACTTTCGACACTTCTGAGATGCAGGATTCTTTCAAGCCGTCAACAGGGAATGTCACGTGACCTCGGACGGTCCTGAAGCAGATTTTCTTTATCCAACTTTACTAAATTCGATGCTGCGACCGTAATCAAATTCAGTACAAACAATGCAGTGCAAGAGCAATAGTACGCTCAGTACCTGGAAGATCTGAGTGGGCAATTTTGATAGCGCCCAATCCGCGAAGCTGTCGTCTGTTTCAGTCCAAATTGAATTCTTCAAAGATCTGCGGGTCCAAAAACGACAACAGTTCAAAGAATAACGACTCTATGCAGCCCCGTCAGTGAGAATGTTGCTACTTTCGAAGTCGGATGGTGCCAGCAAACACCGACAAGGCAGCTACTTTCGCTGATGCTGCCAAATCTGAAAGCGCGCTTAGCAGCCTCCCCTCCCGCTCTCAGACAAAACTGTACAAATACTGAAGGGAAGCATCGAGCATCCAGCATCGCAAGCATCAAGCGTCAGCAAATCAGATAAAGGAACAACGCTTCATGACAGTTTGGGGTAAGAGTGTGAGCACACCAAATCCGGAACAAAGTTGAGAAGTTGAAGCGAAAGCAATATGCAACACGCATGCGCAATGGAGCATGGAGAAGGATGTGTGTGCAAGCCAGGGTCGCGAGCCATTGGAAAATCATGAATACTATTTCTCAAGTTCCAAACTTTCGCTGCCTTAAAAACAACTTCCCGCCCCTAAGACACACCGTATCACCTGAAATGCTTCCAGCATGGGCTACAAGGAATGGTTCAAATTGAGATGCATCCCTTCCCTGACTTGATCTGCACCAGTCAATTTGAAGTGTTCAGGATTCAGCGCATGTCTGCTCATGAGAAGGTGCCTGCGTCACTGCTATGTCAGGTTAATAACCACTGCAGAGCCGGCGCCGTCCAGAGCATCTGCCTTCTTCGAATCATACTCCTGCATGATCTGAATCTGGCTCATCCTGGGCAAGGAAACTGAACGCAGCTATGAGATCAGTTGCCAAGTGTTGGCATGAGCCAATCACTCAGTCACGTCTCACGCGCTCACTGCAAGCGAAGATCCGCCCACGACATGCTTTCCGGGCCCGCCTGCTCTTATTCTGCACGTGATCGCACCTGTGCTTTCCAGCCTTACCTTTGTCGAGCCCTGTCAGTCATTGAGGTCGCTGATGCAGCCATCTTTTGCGACTAAACTTTTCACATGGAAGTTTCATGCTCGTTGAGTGTGGCAGGCCGCAACTTTGTGCTGCATGCAACATACAATAACATCCAGCAGTTGCCTGCTCATGCCCACGCCCCACAGCTAGACTGGGCTTGTCAGCACTCTGTATGGAGGTCGTCAACCCCACTCTGTCGTCAAGCCTAAGGAATGACTTCCAAAACGTGTCAGCAAAAGGCCCCACTGGCTGTTTGAAGGCAACGCTTCGGCTGCGGGACCAAGGACAGCAACTCTCAGGTGTGAGTCTGGACATGCAGCAATCAAAGCTGGCAGTGGCAGAAAACATGTGTGTCTTGGCCCTTCATCGGTATCTCAAATCTTCCTGCAGGCTCATTTTGAGTCTTGAGGAAGGCTGACTTCAACATCTGCTGTCAAGGCATCATCAGTCTGGAAACATGCAAGCAAGCGACACACGTGTTGAACAGTTTGCAGCATTACAACATACAATGTCAGAAGCTTGTCGACAGATGCGCCTTGGCCAGCCCTTGTTCAGGTGAAACAAGATGTTATTCATTCGCGGGGCAGCCAATTGCAGTCTAAAAGCATGATGCCGAGCCTTCCTCACCCGAACGGGCCTGCGACAGCTCTCGCTTCATGTTCGACAGCCAGTTTCAAGAAGAGCTTGTGCTGAGGCCGAGACTCTCGCAGCCCAAGGAAAGGTGTTGACAACACCAGTTTTTCTTATCTTGCGACCATCCAGCATGCCAGTTGGCATAGCCTCCGGAGCGCAGGGAAGAACCCCTTTTGCGGTGCCGTCAGGGTTCAGCTCCGTTCCCCAAGCTGTTTTTGTCCTTTGAAACGCCCCGGCGAGACTCGGACTGGTACAGCACTCCCCGGCAGTTCTGTTTCTTCTTCTTCTTCTTCGTTTATGGGCGGCGCTGACCTCTCACGAGGCAAGCCGGGGCACAGCCCATAGCCTGCGCCTGGTGAAGTCACGTGGGCGGTACCGCGAAGTCCGGATTGGAAACCGTTGGGACCCAGACTGTGCTACCCCACTTGCACAGCGCATCAACTGTGAAACTGGTGCCTGCGAAATGGATTGAACCGCAAGGAAATTGAGCTACCGCATGCTGACATAAACACCCTAGCTGCCTTAGATCTCGGTTGCTCGTTGGACTCACACGGAGTATTGGCCTGTGGTTGCAGGGTGTTCTAGTTCAGTTAATGTCAGGAGCCTACCCCCTCTCCGTAGCTCATATGCGCGTCAAATTTTGCCTCCATGTTTGCCTGTAGCTTGTTTCTTTTGCTTTTTCCTTAATTAGAGAACGTCCATCCCAAAAAAGGTCATTTTTGGGTGTTTCCTACTTATACGCCTTGCGTGTCCGGGCAGCACCGTACATCTTGCATACTGAGGTACTCCGTGTATCCTACCCATGCCATGTTCAGCGCGTACCTGATACCTATGTGTAGTCTTTTCGCCCTCTCCTCCTCTCCCCTTCCCTTCTCTCCTCTTGCCCTCTCTCCCTGCCCATAGCCCACACTTGGACAACCACCCCGATGCCTCATAGGGGCCTCTTCGGGCCGAACCTCTTGACCGACGACAGGATGCAGCACAAAACGCCACTCAGGACAGTAGATGTCAAGACAAGGCGGGTAAACCTGAATTTTCGGCAGAGATGAGAGAGTTGACCGTAGCTGGCAGGAATGACTACACTCACAAACCAAACTGGGCAGGGCCGGAGGAGCGGCTCAGCTCGCCAGGTCGTCCGAGATGCCGGGAATGTGACGAATGTGTGCAGACACACGGTGATCCGACTGGAAGTGCAGGAAGCATTGCAAGAGATTGCAGGGGCACTTGTCAGTGGAAACGCCCTTCCATGAGGCGGACTCTGCAACAGCATTGTCGCACGAAAGGTGAACGTGAACAGGCGGATGGTTGTGCCGTAGTATGCGGCAGTAAAGAATGCTCACGCCAGACAAGTCCAATCTGGGCCAATATAGATCCCAACACGCGATAAAACGGAAGCAGAAAGGACCTGCTGCAAATAGCGGGTCTTGGATTCGGAAACGAACGAAGCCTGCAATGCTGGCGGAGCCGGCGAGGGGGGCCAGCACATCCAGCCAGAGACGCGTAGCCTTGCCCGTGATCTTCCAGAATTTCCTCCACCATACAGCCGCGTTCCGGTTCTGGTCTTGGCTTTCCTTACATTTTGTCCGTCTTTTAGTGACCAGGGTTTGACGTCACAGTCGACGTAGAGGAAGTGGAACTGGTACCGGATGTCGTTGCTTTCCTCTTCCTTCTTCGAGTCGCGCTGCTGGCCCTTTCAGGTCTCTCTTTTGGCCTCGCAGATTTTCTCTTACAGCTGGCTTTGGGTCCTTTCTTCAGCGTCCGACCATCCTTGCTTCCAGAGAGTTTGTCCTTTCCCTGCCCCAGCTCTTGCTCTCAAGGCCTGCATGAATCTTGGATGTCCTCGCAGACCCCTGCTTGCTGCAGTGATCATCTCTGCTTTGGTAGCCATGATGCAGAGCTTTGGTAGCCCCCTCCACGAATTTCCAGCATCCATGTTGATAGCCGTGCCGTACTTGCATCCCAAGGCTGCAGGCTATAGGCACACTCCCTGTTCGACGGTTTTCTTCTTTACTTCTTCAGCTCCCGCCTGCTTCCTTGTCACTCATCTTATTCTCAGCAGTGGCCACGGAAAAAGTGTTGGATTACTAGATTCCACAAATCTTTCCAGGTCCCTGTAGAGAGCAAGAAACTTCCTTCAAAGAGAAAAAGTAGCTTACAGCAAAGACACCTAGTCAGTTTATTCCCTTCCTTCAGCACTCTTTCCTTCGGAGCCGTGCTCTCCGCGATCGGGGCTCAGCGCTCCACAGAAAGACTCACCCGTGTCACCGCGTGACTGCACCTTTGCATCATTTAATTGATATGTTTGAATCCTCACGGAGGGGCTCACCCTTTTCCAAGGCCTGTCTGGCAAATGGCGGCGGACGCGTGGTCCCAAGCCGCCGCCACTCGAACAGGCGTCCACCCCCCCTAGGAGACGCGGCAGGCGACTTGAGCCAAAATGGCTAAAGCCTACTCCCTCTCTTCTTCTTCGGGTGCAAGAGAGCCCTCACGGCCATCTCGGGGCCGAAGCCCCGCACTCAGCATGATGTCCCAGTCTGGTCTATCCTCTCTCTCTCTCCTTCTCCTCGCTCGCGCTCTCTGGTAATCATGACTTCGACTGCATGATTTAACGCGGCCCGAGGACTGGCAATTACAAGGCAGGCGCTGAAAGTCTGACATCAGTCCTGCATCGCAGTCGAAATCATTGTTGTCTATGTAGCTCACAGCGTGGGAATCCTGCACACATGGGCCCAAGAATGCGCAGCTGCAAGACTGATTGTGCGGGGGCTATCGCGGCTTCAGTTTTGCTGTCCAACAGACCTCTGCAGAAGACTCCACGGAGGTCGCATCGTATGCATCTTCCTTGGGGCTGTAGGGGGCAGGGCCTCTCTCGGCCCCGAATGCGGGCTTAAAGCACCGCAAATGGAGGCATGCGCTGTGGCTTACCAGTGCAATCCACTGAGAATCTGCCAGTACAGAGCTCGGTTTAAATGATAGACACACTCTGCACTGGTACAAGTTATATGTGGCACGCTCCGCTGTTGAAGTACTTTCTGGGCCCAGAAGCCCGCCACACTTTGTTTCAAAAACAGAAATGTACAACGTGTGCAAGTCACACCAGCTTGGTGGGGTGGCATGGGTGGCGGAACAGGTTTCCTCTGGGTTGCATTTGGGCTGAGTTGCCAAGGCCTAGTCACAGTCGCGGGTTTCCTGGTCTTGACGAAGGTGCGTAGTTCTCTGTTGCTGGGGCCTTACCTGCACTTACTGCCCAAGACGGAGTAACAACATGGAAGAGCCAGCGCCCTGCCAACTGCAGGCCAACGTGTGATTGGAGATGCAGCTCAGAACTGCCTAAATTAAAAGTGGTAGCAGGCTGCATGAATCTTCAATCTCATCCAACACATTGGATTTGTCACATGGCTGGCGGCAGGCTCTCTGATATGCGCTTGCCCTGAGCTCGTGGGCTTAGTGGTGGTAACCTCGAAGGCCAAGCTTGCATCTCTAGCGCCATACTGATAAAATTAAACGTTGCAACGCATCTGCCAGAAAATTCGCTGTTTTCCTTCCAGGCAACCTCTGGCAGACAAGTCCTGGTATGCAGCATGCAGCAATTAATGGAAGCAGGCCATGGATCATGCACAGATGCGCAGATCGAACGAAGGAATTTCTCGAACAAAACATGTGCAGCAAATAACTACCCTGGAAGCTAAAAAACGTCGCGGTTCGTTTTGATTACTCTCAAAAAGCGCAGAAAAGTCTCTTGTCTGTACTGGCTTCCCTCAAAGCCTGTCTCTCGCTGCCCTGCAAATCGTTCTACGTGCGCAAACCTTTGCTGAAGATTGGCTTCGAGCCCACATGCAACCCCATCCACGCAAGTCATCAGAGCTTTGCTCATGCTTGTGTAAGGTGTGTAAGGCAGATTGAAGAGGCAGAGGCGTTGCTTTCCTGTTGTCTGTACCAGCAGCGATTTTGGTGATACTTCGCGTCACACAGATTCCTTTTGTCGAAAAAACCTTGCTTGGCAGACAACTCAGTGCACTCTCCGACTTGAAGTGGTTATACATTTGGACGTTATAAATCTGGACTGTTTGTCCGGAAGCCCCTGCAACGCCAAGGCTGCACCTACACTGGGCCTTTGTTTGGATTCACCTAGCTGCATTTCAAAGGTTCCTGTACGGATTCAATTGTAAAATCTGCCCCTCAGCGCGATATTTTCTAGCCACAAAAAATTCTCTCCACGTTGATCTTGATCACCGCAAGCCAACTTACATCACTCTGCTACGATGGCGCCCTGGCCTGTGACCCACCCCTAAGGCTCGAGACGATAGGGACTTGCCAAAAAAAAGGATGACAAGTTAATCATGGCCGTTTCAACAGGTCGTTTATCGATGTTGCCTTGGTACCGTCGCCAATTCGAAACTAAATCGTTCAAAAAGGCTGCAGCCACCGCGCCTCCAGCCACAGCCTGCCCGCCACACCGCCCCAACCCCCAGCCACCCACGATCCTAGCGCCACCTCCAGCCTGCTCCAGCCAGCGCCACCATCCTCCAGCCCAGCCACCATCCACCGATCGGATGGATACTGTACGTCTTAATTTGAGGTGCCGATGGTGGGTGTGGTGGGTTTGCTTGGCTGGTGGTGGGTCGTGGGAGGGGGAGTGGGTGGGTGGGTGGGTGGCGGGTTGGGTGTTGGGTGGGTGTGGTGGCTGTTGGGTGGTGGTTGCGGGAGTGGTGGCAGTGGGGGTTGCAGTGGGGACGGTGGTGCGGGTGGACGCTACGTGGCAGTGGTGGCAGTGGTGCCGGTGGAGTATATAGTAGGCTGGGCAACACATGACTGCAGATCCGCACTCTTAATGAACAAACAGCTCTGCACACTGCCACTCATGGAAGCATAGCTTATGTAGATCCTCCCAACATCGAATCGTTGATTCACATTTTCACATGTTCTCTTCAACTACCGTGCTGGAATGCCCGGCTTCTTGACGCATTTCAAGACTGGACCGTATCAAGCTCTGCTTACAAAGCTCAGCTCAGCGCGGAGGTGCAGCCTTGGCGTAAATGCCAGCAACACCAAGATCGCCTTCGGGCTGATTTGGCATCTACCAGCCCAGCCTAAATATGGCATTAGCTTTTTTGCGCCAGCTCATGAACAACATCAACTCTTGATTGGGCGTGAAAGTCTCTCACGGCCTGCTCACAGCCTGTCAAGATCTGTCAAGGCCTTTGGAGAAAGCGGCTACCAGTACATGCTGCCACGGTCTTGCCAGTGCCCAGCGTGCCCTATATCTAGGCCCACGGTGTGCAATATCACTATGCGCTATTACAAGCTAGTTAGACCGGGTTCGCTCCGGCATTGCATGGCTGCAGCTTCTAGGTAGGGGCCGATGCTTAGCCTTGCAGATTTTAGAAGACGCTGCCAGCCCACCATGGCACGCCCTTGCAAAAGCAGCACGGCTCGAGCCTGGCAAACGACCAGGATTGGTCTACAGCCTGCCGGATGATCAGCGTTGCAGCATCATAGGCTTGCTTCTGCAGTGGATCCTCCAAAGCTATGCAGCACTGACCCTAGAACTTCTCTTCTTAGGCAATCTGAAACCCTCGAACAGCGGCCTCGCAGTCGTACAAGCAGCCACGAGAGGTGCGGGCACAGCACCACGCCTCTGGCAGATGACGGCCCCGGTGCCAACCAAGCTCTCTTGAGTTTTGCAACCTTGCTTGCGCCTTGCAACATGGAAAATGAAGAAGCAACTTAAGCCTGTCTCATAGGCAAGACCAGACGCGCATGCCAACCTCTGAATACACTGCTGCGTTGCCCTCCCGTGTTGCTCATGATGTCCTTGCAGGCACTCCTTGGCGAGACTTTGGCGAGCCTTCTTGCCATCCGACCAGCCAGCTCGCCAGTTTGCATACCTGAGAATTTCGCTTTCGCTGTGGTTTGCTAACTGACGTCCTTGGCTTTGCTGCTACATGATGCCACCGAGATACCCAGCATCACAATCGTATCTGTTCACGTGTTTAGCGGAACATCCCAAACTGTAGGTCTTGCAGCACCAGGCCTCGCATACAGCAGCAGGACAAATGCGCAATTCACGAACTTCCAAAGCACTGGCCCGCTCTCTGTGGTGCAGGTGGTCAAACCTGATATGCCTTCATGGTTCTTTCAAGCCTCCCATGGTTCAAAGAAAACTGAGCACTCTGAAGTCAGCACGCATGTGTTGTCTTTTGGTTCACCTTTTCCCTTGGTTTCCTCAGCATGGTGCTTGAGCATCTGGAGCTAGAGGCCTGTTAGCCTGTTTGACTCCTCACTCTATTGACTTGGGTTTTTGACGGTTGTAACCGACCGGTATGCCAGGCAAGGCCGGTCACATCTGTAGAATTTGGAAAGCATAAAAAACTTCTCTTGTTAGTGAGACTTTGCATTTTCGAGGAGATGATTCGTGCATGACATTGGTGTTCTGGTGGCCGTTGGGCACATGCCACTTCAGATTTCACACGAACAACTTGGAAATTCTAAGTTTTCTCGAAGCTCCGGACCGGATTTCAATTTGGGTACAAATCTCTCTTATCTAGGACTCGTTGCGACCTGGACCCATGGAAACATTCTACTCGTACACTATGATAGCGCCTGGCTTGCATTCAGCCCAACACGTATGTGGTTGCAGAAGCAGCCGCGGCGTGACAACTTGAGAGCCACGGGCTGGGACGAAAGCTCAATAATGGACAGGAGTGGCGAGACAGGATGTGAAGAGACAGACCATATACAACCAGAAGAGCATGCAGCCCGGCCTTCACTGCCCATTAAAGGAACTGCAACCCTCCCACGGAAACCCCTCCTTTACCTCCAAGATCCCCCCAGCTCCAGGGAAGCCGCAAAAACCAGCCAAAATTGGCACCCCCTCCCCCCCCCAGACCCCCCCCAATCCCAGGCTCACTCCGTGAGGTACTAAACAAAGCTCCCACACGGGGAGCTTTCGTGATTAGACTCAGCTCCTCAGTTCAGTTATAAGTTATGAGGTCAACAAGAAGTGGAGCCATCGCTGAAGCTACCATTGCGTGGTGAAGCTTTGCTTACACTAGGAGTTGTAGCTGTTGCCTGGCGGCCGCTGTCACCATACATACTTGTGCCAGCCAAGCACACGAAGCATCACATCGTCGAGCTGTAGGCTGTAATATGCTGTGATAGTATAAGAGTACTAGCACTGGCACCGGCACTAGCAGACGCGGAGTTCTCAGTTTGATATGAGGTTTTTAAGGTCTATATGAGCGCCGGCTTTTATTCATGACCTGGGCCTTATGCGGCATTTTTAATCCATGGCCCCTCATCTCGTTCGCCTTATATGTAATCTTGTATTGTACGTTGACAAAATCACCTGATCTCGTTCGCCATGTTGGAACATGTACTGGGCTCTTATTGCAAAAGAAACTGCGCCCCATCTCGTTCAATCCACGGCCCCTATCTCGTTCCCAAAGGAACGCTGAACCGAGATGCAAAAATACCAATGCGCCTAGCCTTATACACTCTTACGTAAATAAATGTGGCTGCTCATATGCAGAACATTGCAGAACATTATTCTGCAATGGACTCTCTTCGTGAACTCATTTTTGCAATCATGCCTTCTTTTGCGGCCTATGGCGCCAACACTGGCATTTCGCTGCGTGCCTTGCGCCTTGCAGGGTTGTCGTCTGCGAGCACTGCTTGTACTGGTCATGGCAGCAAACTCTGGCGCTGCAAAAGCGAATCGCTGTGGTGTGCTACATCAATGACACGGCCGACAGTTGCTTAGTTTAGTTTGCGTGACTGGCGGATGAATAGGCTTTTCTACCGCATGGGTTGGAGCATGGGAGCCGCTTCCGAGCACGAAAAATGTCGACACAAGCACGAGGAAGGCTGAAAGAGCTTCCTAGCTGCAAGAAAGCCATGGCGATGTGGAGGCATCCCGACGCCGTTGACACAGCGACTGGACGCGCCACTGTTGAGGAGGCCGCAGAACCAATGTGCAGACAGGCTTGCCCCTGAGCCCTCCAACCACATGTAATGCCGCACTGTTGAGTACATTTTCTGTCCATTTCTGGTCCACTGCATCCGGTGACCAGAGCATCCATGCCCAGACCATAATAACGTTCGTGTTCCAAGAGCATACGGTTACCAGAGCATCCGCGCCCAAACCATAATAACGTTCGTGTTCCAAGAGCATACGGTTACCAGAGCATCCAAGCCCAAACCATAATAACGTTCGTGTTCGCTTTCCAAGTTGATCGTATGGGCGAGGATCCCTATGATCAGCTCCACCAGGATCGTCCTTGGGAGATGCTCGAGCTGTAGGCCTATAATTGCCACAAACTGCAGGGCAGTTTTTTGCTGTTTTCGGCCTTTTCATTAAAGAGCCACAATGTCCTGCAAATTCTCCAAAAGTAATGGCCGGAATAGCACGCGAGCTAGATTGCGAGAAGCGCGTAGCTTCTCCTGGACATCTCGCAGGACTCGTGTTTTTTGGAGAAAAAAAAAAAACGAGTCCAGGAAGTTGGCCATTTTGCGGCTCTGCCCGAGCCAGAAAACCCTGCCTGCCGTGGGACACGGAAGACTTGCTCTGCCTCAGATACGTCTAAAAGCGCGGCATTACGCGTGGTTGGAACGCCGTTGAGGGTGCTGCGCAGCAGTCTCTTCCTGAACCTCTCAAGCTCAAGTTCCCAAAGTTCGATGCTGGAGGAGATGTGGCACAGAGCATGCAGCAGCGTGTGCAAGTCTTCAAGTGGGCTTTTTACTCTTAGTCATTGACAACCTCTTCCTGCTGTTCTTCGGCGGCTTGGTTATCAACATGGCGTTAGCTGCATTGCATTGGATCCCTGACTTTGACCGGCCCCCGCCCTTCTCTTTGGCGACCGGGGGCTCCTGTTGGTTTTGAGGCGGAATGGCTTCGGAAGCCGCAGCTCGCCGTGCCCGTTGTGCGCCTCCCTGCGCCTTGCCGTGCTGAGGCTGGTGGTTGATCTCCTCACACGGTCGAACTCCTTGAGGGCCTTGATCGTTTCAGGTGCACTGCACATGGCAAGGTGCAACCCGCGACGTCCAAGCACTAATTACCAGTTCTTGGCAGATTTGGCAGCTGCTTGTGTTCCTGCCTCGTGGTAGTATGTGTTCACCCCGCAAGACAATTTGCAGGCCAAGCTCCAGGACAACCAGGACAGTTTTTCTTCTGACCCGCATATCTTGACCTCAGCCTAGGCGAGTTGGAGGCACGACGGATGGCTCTGATATGATGTGTTCATACTTGACATTGGGTGAGATGGGCACTGTCTTGCAAGAGGGAGACATGGCAACTTAGGAAGCCAGTGCAGGTCAGTACACCAACGCAACAAACTGGTATCCATATTGTCTGTGTTGCTGTTGTTTGCACTGGTGACAACGTCCGGGCATACATGGAGGGCTCTCAGGTTGTGACCATCAACGAGTGCATGCATGAGGTGAATGCGACGGCTGCCACATGGTGGGTCCATAACCTGACCTTGACTGTTGGTTGATGCTGGGTTCATGGGGCAGCACTTCCTGAGTTTGCCTACTCCGAGAAGGTTCATGACGATTTCTTCCTCATGGATAATCTGCGTAAGGGCCAGGGAGTCCTCGGCGTCAGTAGCATCTTCTACTTGACCACGCGGGTGTAGTGGAGGAATAGCCGTGAAGGAGCTGGGCAACTGTGGCGACCTTTTCTTGACGGGAGAGACAGTCTCTCGCTGACTGATGGCTGCATCTTGCGAAGGTAAGCTTCATCAGGTGCGTGCCTTGAGCTCTCTTTTGCGAGCGTGCTGAGACAGCTGTTGCCTCTAGGTTTGGGGATGTGCCGGGTGTCTCTCGGTACCGGTTTGTTCAATTGTGGTTTTGTTTCTGTAGGCTAGAACACGTAGCATACGGCTTTAGGCTTAAGTCCATCGGGGCTGGGGCCACCTAAACTACGGCTCTCTCCAAAAAACCTGGAACATTTTTGAGGGCAAAAAAAGGCGAGGTTCTGGTTTCATGGCTGCGTTGCAGGCAACGTCATTGGAAGAGGCACGGGCCAACTCCTGTCGTATTACTTCTTACCCAATTTCCTTTCATGCTGGGAACAGCAGAGCACACCATCAAATCTGGTCACCTACTATTTATTCACCAGCCACCAGTCATTACTGATGTAGAGGTTGTTGCGACATTATGGAGAAGGCAATGCTGGCACGCAGTGGGCAATCCATTTTCCGTGTTAAGTTAAGACACATCCTGCTGGTAAAGGTAGGGCTAGAAGTTGAGCCAAGCTTACAGCACAGGTGCCCGTGATTGTCCACGTGCGTGTGCAGTGCGACGTAAGCACGTCTGCACAGAGTACACAGACTACCAAACCCAAGAGCGTCGTGAAGAGGTGTCAGGCTTGCCCACCAAGGCCTTCTTGTGAGATGACCATCGGTCATGCCAGTGGTACAGGTCGTCAGAACAATCATAGCTCGTTGCCTCCGATGTCCTTGGCCAGCGATATCGAGTAATTTCTTAGCAAACTTCCTCATTGCGGTAGTCGATTGTTCAGAAGTGACCGTGCTTGCCACGATCTGTTTGCCTTGCCAAGCTTCTGCCGACAACCTCGACCGTGGTGCATACAACACCATTCCTGCACACGCAATCGTCCACTTACACTGTTTGGACATGTTTGGACTGTCTGACGTTTGCTAGGCACGGCAGCATAGTCTTGAGCCCGCTCGATGAAAACACCCAATAAAATGCCATAATGATAATTTCATCCACGGGAAATGCACGCACTGTGTCGGACCTTCAAGTTTAAGGAAATGTCATCCAGCACTATCTTGTGAAGCATAAAAAGTGCAGGTACAGCAAGCAAAAAGCTCTTGTGCGGAGCAGGGCCCCAGTTTCACTTTTGCATGGGCATGCCAGCGCCATACAGGGCCAAGTGTTTGTCTTCAGCCCCTACATCATGAGCGACTGGGCCAAGTTTCATTCGGCACTTTGCCCTGCGATGCTTCAAATGCAATTGCGGCCATTAGACAGGTGACATGACTAGGCAAAAAGGAAACCTTCTACATCCAACTCGATGAAATGATAGGCCATGATAAGGTCGTACATGTGCGGAGGTAAGTACTGCCCACTACAAAAAGAGCGGATCAAGCCTGCTTAGCAACAGACCATCCAACTTGCCAGTTGGAGAAGCCAGCGCTGCAATCGAATGCATGAGCCTGCCATGACATGGCTACTGCAGGCGGCAGTGAACAAAAGACTAGTCTCCCACAATGGCCTTATGATGCACAGGGACTAGGACTGGACAATGCTTCCTTGTTGCAGAACTGCGATTGACACTTTGGCCTGAGCAAATGTCACCTGGCTTGGACAGCCGCGGTTCTGATGGAGACCTCAGCGCTTCCCAGGAACTGAAGAGAAACATGAAGAAATGACAGTTCACCGAAGCGGCCATGTTTTGACTTTGACAAGGCTAATTAGTCTTACCAGCAGCTTCAGACAGGCAGGCGCGTTGGGAAGCTTGGCGCTTTACAGCACCATACCGTCTTTTGAGCAGGCCAGTGCGTCGCCTTAGGCACCATGACGCACCTGCTAACTGCATACAAGCTGAGACTGGCGTGATTTTAGAGTCGCGAGGGTATGCAAAAGCATGTTGAACTAGTCTGTCTCATTATTGCCACATCACCAGATCGGATGCGACCCTGCTCTGTGGCCCTAGCAGAGCCAATCGAGCAATCAAAAGGATGGCCTCAGTAGCCAAGCGCGCCCACTCATTGCAGTCAAGCAATGAGAAGAGTATACAATCACTCTCACCAGTCTACGCAAAATTCACTGAGTCAAGGGTGGCCCAACTGCTTCTCAAGGAGCCCTGCAAATCTCGCAACATTTTTCCAGTGGGACTGCGGCACGGCAAAAACAATGGTCTGCATCAGGCGGTGGTATTCGGCCAACAAATTCTCAAGCTGTAGAGAACCGCAATGCAAGGCTTCTGTGGCGGTCCAGCGCTGCCCGGGAAACGTTCGAGCCAGAAGTCGTTCTTCGAGCTCAGCTCTTCCTTCTGCAAGCCGCAGACCATGCGAGCAAAAGTCCCTCTGAACTTCAAGTAGACCTGCATCGGGATTCCGAAGGCCATGGTCAAGAAGCAGAAAACTGAAGGCCTGCCTCGACTTTGCAAAGCTGACAAACTGGGAAGCGTTGAATTCCATCCACTGTACTGCACAAAGGCCAGCAAGAATGAGTGTTGTGCTTCGAGCAGCATAAGCAACTTCGGAGAGCACTGCCGGATGCCCTCCGACCTTCAAATGCGTTTCTGGAAGGCCTGCATAGGTAACCCAGTTTTCTTTGCCCCAATAAGCCACGTGCTGCGCAACGCGCAAACGTGGGCACGTGTGCTGCAAAGCTACGCCTGTCAAGTGCCCATGCCGGATTGACCACACGTACTCGCTGCGGTGGTACGTCCACAGCACAGAACCCATCATGGAATGAAATGAAGGACACTCCAAACCCCCGGAAAGCTCTCCGATCTTTGCCAGAAATCGGTAGAATGCCAAGTCAAAATGCTCGTTTGATGAATAGTTTTTCGGCTCCTGTCCATACAATCGGCCTACATGACCACGAAGGGATTGGAAGTGGCGGCGATTTATTACCAACGGAAAGCTATCCATAAACTCAGCCTGCAGGGGTAAGCCAAGCGCAGCCACGGTGTTGGGGAATTGCGCATTATCCGCATGGCCCCAGATTATAGCTCGCGCGGTGCTGCTTGCTCCATCAGCCGGTTGAAACATCAGCTGCGGAAGTCCAAACGTTGTCAGAACAACATCGCTATCACAGATTGCAATGAACTGAGCTGTGGAATATTTGTCCGCCCAGCACTCGGTCCATTCCTTCCAAACAAGTCCTCGCTGCCTTTGCGTGCCACCAAGATGACCGAACGGGTCCACGCTGCTGAAAGCAGGTGTGAAATCTTTCAGGAAGGCTGGCATTGGCTGCAGAAAGCAACGAATCCACTTTGGCAGCATAGCACAAGCACGCTCATCCTCCAAGCTCTCTCCATCCAATACAACAATTACTCCCCAACTTGGAGGCCAAAACACAGCAACAGACTGCAGCAAATGCATGAGCTCCTGCATTTTTGCATGGTATGTGCGCACAAAGAGATCCACTGATACATCAGGTCGCCAGGATGGTTGTCCAGCTCTGACTCCATCGTCAACAAGCTTTGGCTGTAGTTGGCTGCGCATCCTTTCTGGCATGGAGGTTGCGCTCGGAGTCCAGCCACCTGTTGCTCCAGCTGCTTCTGGGGTGCAGCAACGCTCGTACGTGAAGAATTCGTCAAAGCACCAGGGGGTGCCGACACCAGCAGGGATGCAACACATCGCTGGGGTCATGCCTCTCCAGCAGTTCGCAAAGGCACCCTTTGAAGCAGGCTGACTGGGTTTCTGATGGAGGTGCGTGGCATAGCCGATAAAGCTGTTGCGGTCAGGCTGATGCTCAGCTTTTAGGGCATAACGCCTGTGATGCAACTTCTGGAAATTGAGTCGTGCGCCTTCTGCTGGCTCTTTCGACACATCTACTACAGCAGACAACACCATCTTGTCCTTCCCATCTGGGTGTGCCCAGCCCTGTCCGTAGGGTGCTGCGTCCGTGTACGCAACTCCGCTTCCTGGCTGCGCTATGTACCAGCCCAAGCACTGTCCTGGCTTTGCAGGCAGGGGCGTAGACAACTGCAGTCGTGTGGGCCTACCGCGTGATGTGCAACTTGCATTGGAGTTAGCCGTGACTCTCCAAGTTGTTGGCGTGCCGCCCGCCCCGTCTACCTCCTCATGCTCCAGCATGAGAAAGAAAGGCCACAGGTCTCCAACATCGTTAGAAAAGTGCGCGCTGACTGCAGAAACTAAACCTGGAAACTGGAAGCAGATTCCCGTATCAAGCACGACTATGCCGCCCTCCTGATTGGCATGAGCCCAGGACACGAGGGGATTTCCAACTTCCACAGCTCGTGCGAGCATGCCAGCCCCAATCAAAACCTGCTGAGGCGTGACAAAACGCATGCTGCTCCGCCCGACGGTTGATGCAAAAGCTTCATCAGGGCCGCATGAGACAGCAGCTCAATCTTCGCCCCTGGAGGAAAAATTCACCACACCGAAAGTTGCGCCAGGAGCAGCCTGCGCTCACTGCTGGAAGTCAGTGCTGCATCGCCTACAGCAGCATCCATCAGCAAGTCTTGGGCCAACACATTCTTGACAGCAGTGCTGCTTGCAATGATGCCAATTACAGCATTAGTGCCCTGCAAAAACTAGCAAGAATGACTTTAAAGATCCTTCAAGAAAGAAAGTTCACAGTGTACCTTGGGAGAGGGGGGTTTGGGTTCGAGTTCAATGAAAGTGACAGCAGGAAGGGTGGGGGGTCCGGGTTCGGCTTCAGGTTCGGGCACGCGCGAAAGCCAAAGTTTGGATGATTAGGGGGTGTTCGGGTTCGGTTTTGCGAAAGATGGGGTTCGTGTTCACTGAATCTTCTGAAGAGGATTTCAGGTTCGGGTTCAGCTGCGCGTGCAAAAAAAAGAGGTTGGGGGTTCGGGTTTGAGTTCGGTTGTGGGAGAGAGGGGGGTTCGTGTTCCGAGTTCGGTCTCGAGTTCGGATTCGGGGTTCAGTTCGGGGTTCGGTCGCGAGTTGAGGTCGGGAGTTCGGGTTCCGAGTTCGGTCCCGAGCTCAATCTTGAAATCGGGCTGAGGCTTTCGGTCCCGAGTTCGGGTTCAGGGTTCAGTTCGGGGCTCGGTCCTGAGTTCCGCCTAGTTCGGTCGGAAGTTCGGGTTCGGGGTTCGGTCCCGAGTTCGTTCTGGTTCGGCCTGTAGTTAGCTCGGGAGTTTGGGTTGGTGGTTCGGTTCGGCGGCTCGATCCCGAGTTCGGTCGGGAGTTCGGGTTCGGGTCCTGAGTTTTGTCTTGAGTTCAGGTTCGAGGTTCGGTTCATGGTTCGGGTGGGGTACGGAATGAAAATAAGGACCGCGAGAAAGAAACGAAAAAGAAAAGGAAAGTCACAAAACAAGAGAGCAAGAAAAAAGGAAAGAAAGGAACGAAGAAATACAGATAGAAAGAGATACACGGATACACAAGGGCAAAAGAAGCAAAGAAAGACAGAGAGAAGAATAAAGAAGGACATACAAAAGCGGTGACCTATCAAAATAATAATGTGATCAGCAAGAAATTTCTATGCCAGTTGCCAAATGTGGGCAGTCAGAGGGATCGTGGGGTCGGGGTCGTGTTGCGATCCTCGCGGCTGTCGTCGCTTTTGGCCCATTGGGGCCTCTCGTGATTTGAAAAGTGTCACCGGTCATAGGGATCGTGAGGTTCGGGATCGCAATCCTCGTAGCGTGTCAACGGATTCAACGTTCACAGGGATCGCGCAGGTCCGGGTAAAAGTGTCAACGGTCACAGGGATCGTGGGGGTCAGGGCTGCGATTCTCCTACCTGTCGTCGCTTTTCGACCCTCGGATCCTCTTGGAGTTTGAAAAGTGTCAACAGTTACAAGGATTGCAGGGGTCGGGGTCGCGATCCTCGTAAGTATCGTCGCTGTTGGATCCTGGGATCCTCGTGGATTCTGGAAAGTGGACAGTCATGGGGTGGCTTCCCATCCGCAAACAAGATGATCCGCACTACATGGCTTTAAACAACGGAGGCTCGGGAGGGGCGCAGCACAAGTGCTGAAACTTAACATTACAGAAGGTAGCCACGCAAAAGTGGTGCAACGTTATTGTCACCGTTTCGAGAGTTGAATACAAGTTGGCACCAGTTTATTTCTTAGATCAAGGTGCTCTATGCTTTTTGATACAATTTGTTGGGCCGACAGTCATCCCCCCCGCATGCTTGAATTTTCTGTGAACTTCTCACCAGGATAAACATCCCTACGATTCCCTACGTCAACAAAAGCTGCAGAAGCCAGAAGAGGTGGAACTGCCTACTCGCTGCAGCTGATATGTCAAAAGCACGTGAGGATTTTTTAAAAGGGCCAACCAATCAACACAAAAAATGGCCTTCCCCAGACTCCATGCCATGTCAAGGCCGATGCAGGAATGGATGACTTCACAGGGCCCCTAACCAGATTAAGCACATCAATCGAATTTTTACTTTCATTTGATTAATCCCAACTACTAGAACTGATCTGATAAATGGGCGAACCGGAATATTGTGATTCATTGGAATTCTTGTAACTAATCAAATCACGCGGTCCGCCTCCTTCATTTCGCTAACTACATCAATGGCATTAAGTACGTCCGTCCGGGTTCAGACCCCTCCATAATTCAACACTGGTAACAAAAACCAAAAACTAATCTATAATGATTAGATAGGTTCATGAGTCTTGCCCAAGCTCCCCAATCGAATTGCTGAAATTAATGCGTAAACATTAACCACCACATACCAAATCTAAATAACCAAATAGTTGGAGTAATATTTTTTGGCATTCAGGCTCAAGATCCCAAACCTAATTGATGTACTTACTGTAGATTAATGAGTGGACTCACTTGATCCTTTGATTCATCATCAGATTACAACGTTGGGGCCGTCTCCTCCACGTGATTCATTAGACCAGCTCTATTAACTAGATCCACTTGCTTTAGGCTCAGGCCCCGTCAGACTAATCAAATTGTTAGATGAATGAGACTACTGTGATTCAAGCTCAGGCCTCCCAATCTACTGATGAAGTGTACTAAGTTGAAGAAGTACTTGAATGAGACGACATGCGACGACTAAAGCC